TCTCTCTCTCTCTGAATAAATGATATCTTAATTTAAAATCTATGTATATCAAGTGGTAGTAACTACAGTAGGTGTCCCCTAAACTCACTTATAAAGATTCTGCTTATTTTTTTTGTATTGACACCATCCAAAAGCCACTCATTCGCACTTCACTAAATTTGATGAAAACGGTACTAAACGAAGTCACTATATTCCCAAACCTTAATAATCTTTGCTATTCTTCCTATATATCCTTTTATTTTGTGGTTGTGGTTATTTTACCTGACTGCTAAGAAAGCATAAATGCTTGTAAGTAAGCAACCAGACGGCCGACAGCTTTCGGTCCACTCCGAGGGACCTGGTAATGAGGATTAATGCCTTACCAAAGGGCACTAGCCGGCATCGACTTGGTTTCGAACCCGGGTCACCGGATTACGAGACCACTGCTCTACCAACTGAGCTATCGCGCCTCCTTTATTATTAAAAAGATAAAAATTTGCAAGCATTAAAATTTGTGAGTATACTTTCTTCTGATTGATTACCCATATCATTACACTTTTTATAATCCAATTATTCGTTTCGTTTTCATTGCATACATGATTGTTAAGCTTAACGATCTAATTTGTAATGGAACGTTAATCAGACTTTCCTTATTATGAAATGAAAATATAATTTTAATTACAATACAATCTAATTACTTTTAGTCTATTTATTCGATTTAATTCAGAAACAAAATGTCCAAACTGACAATAGAGTGAACGGTATACGATTTGACGGTTGTGGTAGCTTTTATGCATAAATAACATTTTGGTATTAAACTACAGATGAATACCCAAGCCGGCAAGTTACCTCCATATTATAGTACACAATATTTGTAAAAAGTAGATTTTCGATTTGTTACTTTGTTATTGTTTGGATTGAACACAAGCCTATTCCTATTACTGATCTTCTTCCAACAGTTTTCATTTTCTTTTTCTTTGACCGATTTATTTTTAACTTAATTTAATTTTGTTACTGATGTTTTTCCCACTTCCACTCCCAGCAACTTTGATACGAAACGTAATAAAGAGAGAAAATTGAACAAGAGAACAAAAGGTAGGCAGAGAGAGGTAGAGAGACGGAGAGACAGAGAGAGGTAGAGAGACGGAGAGACGGAGAGAGAGAGAGAGGGGGGGGGAGAGAGAGGGAGGAGGGGTAAAGAAGAGGGAAATAAATAGAGAGTGAAAAATGGAAGATGTGATATGGGTGTAGAAAGAGGGGGAAAAGGGAGAGCAGGGGCAAGAGGGAGAAAAAGAAAGAAAGGAAGAGAGAAATAGAAGGGGGTATATAAAGCTATTTACATGAAATGTTTTTTAAGTCAATCATCGTTATGAAGATAACATAAGAACTTACACACGAGTGATTTCATGTCAAAGACCAATGTTTCATGTTCATCGAGTTAGCCAAGATATAATGATACACGAAGGCACTGGTGTCGAGGTATTGTCATGACATTTCGAAGCTATATCAAGTTATTATGAGTATCTAGGGTACCATCTTAATCGAGGGAGGGGTGAGGTGGGAAATCAGGGGGACATGGGGAGAGGGTTGCAATGAACTATCACTACTGTTCCTAACACAATCAAGTCTAGGAACAGCAGTAAAGGAGTTCCGAGCCGCCCTGTATAGGAATTCGTGAATTAGAAGAGATCGAGATATTGGCTTGAACATTTCCATTCAAACAATCTGCAGCGATTAGTGATGGGAAAAGAGGAAATCGCCTACAACATCCTCCCATAAACCTTTGATGTCATCCATGCATGATTGAGTGTAATATTGTGACCTATGTATCTCTCTCTCTCTCTCTCTCTCTCTCTCTCTCTCTCTCTCTCTCTCTCTCTCTCTTCTCTCTCTCTCTCTCTCTCTCTCTTGACTAGCAGTCCATGCCAATCAAATTTGATTTTCGTTTCCACTCGCATATAAATGCAATGTACTAAGATATACCTGTGAAAATAAATAGTGGCTACTGTTTTGTAGAGATTGATCGTAGGCACTAAAAAACGATTTTGAGTGTGTGATGCTGTTCGGAGAAAAATAACGACAGCGTTTGTGCTTTTATAGAAATTGTTTGAGACGGGTTCAGTTTATTTTCTTGTTAATGTTCTATTGATTTCAAACTGTTACATTACAAAAAGCTGAAATTGAGCAATAATAATGCATAATAATACACAAGGGCAGCGTGGAAGTCAATTTAATTAGATTAATTAACAAATCTAGAAGAAAAAAAGACATAAACAAAAATGAAAGTTTTCAGCTAAAGTTAGAATTACCCATTCTCAAAATGAATTTGTATTATGTTTCTTTGGTGCAGCCTCATTTAAGATTGATTCTCCATCTTTGCAACAAGAAACACAAGTTTGAATCGAATGGTGACGTGGAAGCCTATCTGTACATTGACGCACGGAGTTGGATCTCTCCCCGAGTGGAGAGGTCGGCCCAAGACGAAACGAGGTACCCAGCAATCCACTCTACCATATTAGGAAAGACGTCGGCGCCAGACCCAACCGCCTGGAGCTCAGCTGGTAGAGACTCTGTGCAGCAGCGGATGCAATGGCTGTCTTGGGTATGGGTAGGATAGGATGCAGTTCGTACGTTCGCCCACCACGTACACACACACACATACACACACGCACACACACATGCCCTTACATACATACATACTGTACCCTAAAATCTTGCCAAAGAATGGAACTAGGCTCGACTAGCACTTATGCTAACTTCTATTTCCCATTTAGAACTTTACCTAAATAAAGTAAACATATTGACGTATATATCTTTTGTACATTTAATAGTATGCAGATGTATGTCTAAATATCGTTATAAAACCATTACTGATCAATCGACATTACTCTTATGTTATGTAGACGTGTATCAGTATCATTTTTGCATCGTATGATTGTTCATAATTATTATACTCAGTGTCATTATTGTGAGGTGTTGTTGTTAATAAATTCAAATTCAAATTCATATGTGTGTATATGTATATGAGGGTGACAAAACACGAGTTACTCCTCAGTAAGCCTCCTAATGGATGATTTCTAGTCAGATGCGGCAAAGAAGAAAAGAGAGGAACGCATTTCCCCCCATCTCGGCAATCTCCAACCTCTTTGGATGAAAGTATCATTCCACTGTTTTCCAATAGTTTGATTCTTTAGATTTTTGATTTTTGATTTTTTTTTTTTTTTTTTTTGGGGGGGGGGGGGTCTTTCTCCTTTTCTTTCTTTTTGTTCCCTTTTCCTCCCTCTCTCATCTTCTTTCTCCTTTTTTTTTCTTCTCTCTTTCTCTCTCTCTCTTCGCGCGCCTTATTCTCTTTATTTTCTTAAACTGTGCGCACTATGCAACGGTCGCGCAAACTTTTGTTTGGAAATACTTCCTCTTTGCTAACCTTCTTCCTACCGCATAGAATTATTTGGAATTATTTGGTTTCAAAACATAATGCCCAATCAGTACAATGGATTTTCTTTTTTTTAATTGTATCACGTGCATTTTAATTTCATCTCACAGCAAGCAACAGCAAAATAGGAATGAAAGCTAATATCATGTAACTTTTTGCAACAAAATGCAATTATTTAAAATCCGAAAAAGTCATATTTCTAAATGTAATGGAGTCTGACCATTGCTGAGCACACAAAGGCCTATAATATCACCATGATAACAATATAACATAACCAATCATCTGTACTATCAGAAGACTAGGAATACATTTCTGTTCATTATGATTGAATACATTTTTCACATAAAGATACATATGTTGCACTCTACGTACAGGATACATACGTATAGCCTATATATATATATATATATACATATATATATGTTCTGTTGTACATACTGTATTAACGAATCCCACTCAAAAAAAATAATATTAAAACTGATGATGGTATATTTATGTTCACACATTAAACTTTATCAGACGAAAAGATCTTCGTCATCCTCAAAAACACCTATGAACAACAAATTTGAAGAAAATAACTTATCGATATACTAAAATATTATGTACATGTATTTTATATGAATAACACACAATTGATATTGATTTGTACACGAGTGTCTCTAGTCGGTTTACCTATAGGTATATAATTTGATAATTCAAGTAACATTTCTGCATCCTAAAAAGAATGGACGATACTGCATTCAGATTCTGTACATTATAACTTTTGACTATATTTATTATTCATGCATTTTTTGTTAATACTTTTTTTTTTGGGGGGGGGGGCAGTATTTAGAAAGCTTAGTTATGAGCATGGAAATTTCGATAGCTAGTATACACCTATACCATGCATATAGACCTGTTACTAACAATGTCTGAAAATAACGGTTCGCATCTCGAGGTTATACTATATTATATTATATCACATTTTATTGAAAAGCAAAACAGAATACAAAAGGAGCATATCAATTGAAAGCAAAACCTCAACCTCAAGACGTAACATGTAAAGAAAGAACGTATCTTTTTAATTGTTCCTCTATATAAAACAACCCCGATAATTCAGCATTGGCCTAAATTCTAGAAAATGTAGCCTGTAATAAGTAGAAATGTCACTCTCAATAATGTGTAGCCACTTCAGGATTAGGCCAGCATATCCAAAGTGATGGAGAGTAGAGCGTTTTTTAAAAGTCCGAAATTAAATATTCTACATTTCTACATTTAACAACGTAATTATTTTTCAATGTGTAGGTACAGTTTGTGTAAATGACCCGACCCCGACCCCGCCCCCCTTGTCTTTAAAAGCCTCGTTGAGATACGAGGTGGCAAAACCGCAGCGGGTTTTGTTTAAAATGACGTAATGATAACATGCAATACGCTTCACATATATCTGTGAGCTGTGCGAATACGCGCATGACTTCCGTTGCCTTAAATTTAGATTAAAGAAACCAAAAACGAAGAAAAAAAACGGCTGTTTTTCTTCGGTAGTTTTCCGTGTCATATCTGACATGACCACGTTGAATGCGCTGAATCAAATAAACAATAGACCCCGGGCTCTTTTCTGTCAAATATTGATCATGGATTTCCATAAATGATGAGCAATTGATTGGGTTGTTCAATTTCACTGGTTTCTTTGATGTCAAATGATGGGCTGTTTTGATCATACTCTGTCATGACAGCGATAGCACTCGGTTTGTCATATTTAGCCCAGTAGAGGGTGCCATTGAAGTAGCTTATATCTCGCATGTTAGGATCACTACTCATGTACTCTGTGAGCTCGTGAGCCTTTGTATGGACGTCCTTGTAGAAAGTTCGTTCCTCACGATAGTCACAGAAAAATATGCGTCGTGGGTCTCCTGCCAAAACAAAGAAAATTATTCTCTTTAATTTGATAAAAATGTAATAACAAAACACATACAACAATCTTTATCAATTAAAAATCCAAATCTGAGAAGACAAGACGAGACAAGATTACATTAAGGCCATGTAAAAAAAATATACATGTTTAGCGTCCCCGCCTGCTTCCTTTTTGGGGGCCGCCTCCTATTTTTTTTTTTTTTTTTTAAAGAAAAAAACATGAAAAACACTGCTAAAATGGATCTATTCTGGACGTGTTATACGAGGGTGTAAGAAGTGCCCCATGTTCACCTCTGATAATTATCTTTTGTACTTTGGCACATGTTCCTTTCCTTTCCTGATAAGTGTCCCCTTTTCCTCTCATCATTCAACGCGCCCTAGCTAATTTCAAGCGACTAAGAGCAATTTACCCCAAAGCTCGCTCGCACGCATCTATAGATGATAAACTCATGTTACTTATCAAAGGTCTCTTCAGTCGGCCGTTAGGAGAATGTGCTTATAACCCCATTAGGATTGGGTTTCTCCCTCTTTGTATGATGTAATTTTTCGCACTGCGACCTCACACATCTTAAAAAATTTCCTCGCTCGCTTCGCTCGCTCGCAAATTTTTTTTAGACAATCGGACCCAACTGCGAAGCATGATGCTTAAGCAATATCTTGTATGGTGTATACAGTGAAAACAAATATTGAAATCATCCCTGATAATGTAATCACAATGTAGGGGTATATCCCAATGTCTAAAAAATTGTATATTTTCGTTTTGAGATTTCCCTTTGTAGGTGCCCTTTTCCAGAAAGTGCCCTTTTTTCTCGGTGCCCCCCCCCCCCCCTCACTTTAGAAGTCGCTCGGCCGCCCCTGTCCGTAAGGACTCGTAAAAAAAATCCGTGTATGTGAAGGGGGTATTAACTGAACCCTTCTAAATATGAAATACGTACGGCTGAGATCAATGCTTAATCCGGTGATTTTGGTAAGATTGCCGTTACTGTACACAGTCTGCGTGATTCCAGATCCATTGAGAGGTTTGCGTAGGATCTTGCCGTTCGTATTTGACCAATACAAAAATCTGAAAAAATAAAAAGTGTCCTGTCAATTCAACATCAAGACAACAACACATTACTATTGTTATTTTAATAATATATTTTAAAAAATATATTATTATTTCTTTTATTATATTATTATTATCATTATTATTATTATCATTGTTATAGTCATCATCCTCATCACCATTACCACTATCATCTAAAACCATAATCATTATTATCATATATTTGATAAACACATAATCACGTAAACGGTGAATACAAAACAGCAGGAGACTTTCATTTGACTTGCATGTATAATTATGTGAGGGTACTACCTGGTAGGGTCTGGGTGGGTCAATTAACAACCCCCACCCCTCCTTCCGAACTATCAATATGATTACGTGATTAAACTTACCCCTGTTCCTCATCCACCTCCAAAGAATAAGGGTCATGAGATGCGGTTACAAAGTTCGTCTCACCCCCTGGAAATGTGCTATCTTGTCCAATATCCACAGTTGTTATTTCCATTGAACCTCTGTAGGCGATGTACAGAATGCGTGAAGATTCAGCGATCGCAAGTCCTTGTGGTTCTAAGATTAAAATGAAATCATGAATTATAAACATCTTGAAATGGGGGGGGGGGGATCCTAAATATGATTTACTTCAAATACTCATTTTTGTTTTGTTTTAATAGATCCGAAGTAGATAGACAGAATATAATAGCATTCAATAAGCAAACGAACAAACAAACAAACAAAGATTGCATGATATATTTCGTCCATGTTTTCACGAAGTGACGGTAGTGAGGAAAATCGTAACGCAAAGTGAATGCAATTTTTTTTCACTACCGTCACTTCGTGAAAATCTTAATACATTTTATGCAGTTTAATATCCCTCTCATAAAGTAAATATGCTGTGGAATCAGCTTTATTTCAATTTCGTATGGTGTCAGATTCCTTTACCATTCTTATTCGTATATATTAATATTATGATATGATTCTGTATTAAATTTTAATCATTGGATAGGGAGCAAGTTTATCCTTACGTCATAGCATATTTCAAAGCTTATCTTTGAATATGTTATTGTTTTACACATACCTGTACCATCGCCATTGTCATTAGTGAGCTTCTCCCTGTTTCCTCCATCCTCATCAGCACGATAAACTACATCTTCCAGCTCGTCAGTCCAGTAGATTTTCTTCTCCACGGAGTCATAGGTTATATGACCGGGGTTTTCAGTGGATGGTATGTCAGTGAAGTGTAGGTCATTTTGTAGGTCTGCAACAAAAATCTTGTACTGGGTATTTCCATCTGTCACAAAGATCTTTGCAGCCGATTCTAAAACAAATAGGTGAAAGAAGGTAACTTTATTTCACGTGGTTTTCCCTTGTACGTATATTAAGCAGCTGAAACAGAACTTTGACACTGATACCTAAAGCAAAATTAAGTGCTGGTCATCTGATGTATACCATTGCGAAAGAATTGTTTGTAACAATTGATTATGCAATATAAAAGAATGATTGAAAGTGTTGGTATTTTTAAAACGAAAAGACTTGACTCAATTTACAGACAATTATATCCATTGCACACAGATAGGTTAGATATTGGACATTTGGGATGAAATTTGGGCCAATCTTTTCAACTATTTTCCTTCATATTTCGTATATGAGGGCGTACGAGGAGCAACCCTTTTTAGGGGACATTTCTATTTTGCTTTTTTTTTTCTCCAAAGAATTACCTGGACCGATTGATAAAAACTTACAAAATATTGTTCATCTTTACCAGAGCTCAACCTTCTCTTTATTTTGTTAAAAATTACTATTCTGATAATTTATCAATTACAATTTGTAGGGCAGAATATATGGAAAACTGAATAGATCCCTATCAATACATATGAAGGATAAGAAAATAATAGGCAAATTGATCATTCAAAGATTATAATACAGACGTTATTGATTGATTGCTCTATTCAGATAAGTAACATAATGGCTCTGTTCTCCTTCGAGGCCTTAGTTATATGTTAAAAGAGGATTTTCGTCTACGTCTTTAAATGTTTTTAATTGTTATCATTTTTATTTGTATTGGTTTCGGCCTACCTTTAGGCTAATTATTGGTCTTAATTGTATTTTAAAATTCTAATTCAAAAAAAGTAAAGGCCACCGCACACTTTAGTGCATTTGAGCCTTCTCGTCAGAATAAAGGCCCAATCTGCTCCAAATCGTAGACATTCTGAGGATTTAGATTTTATAAATCATATGACTATTCATATTGTATTTATGGGCAATAACCAGCATGTCAATGAACAATGGTCTGAATGCGAATTACAACGAATTGCAACAACAGAAGGTAAAAGCCTTCCTTCAAAGAAGCGCAGAAAAGAACAAAATAAGGAAAGGGGAAATAAAAATAATAAACTCTTTCGGTCAGAGGTAGAGAGAGAGGGAGAGAGGGAGAGAGAGAAAAAGAAAGAGAGAGAGAGAGAGAGAGAGAGAGAGAGATCATGGGCAAATTTTACCATGGCATCATGATAAAAAAACGACAATATTTACTAGAGGTGTTTGCCTACATAAATACTTATTTTCCTTAGTATATTTAGGTCTGTAAAGATGACATAAATAATTACATAGATAATACAATGTTGATTATGCAATTTTTGATACAATATCATAATATATTATTCAATTATGTTTCGGATTTGTGTTGATAATCAATGTTTTAGTATTGGAAAAAAATAAACCAAGCTACCAGCGATTATCATCAGATCTCAAAATTGGAGAGAGAGAGAGAGAGAGAGAGAGAGAAAAAAAGGAAAGTGAGAAATCGAGAGAGAAATAGAAGACAGAGAGAGAAGAAAGATAAAAGAATGAGAGAGAGAAATAGAGGGAGGGATAGAGAGAGAGAGAGAGTGAGGGGAGAGAGAGAGGGGAGAGAGAGAGAGAGAGAGAGAAGAGAAAGATGGTGTAAATGAAGTTTTCTTACGAGTAGTTGTGGCAGGATGTGAGGTGGTGGATTCCGTCGTGGACATCGTTGTGGTGTCTTGTGTTGTAGTAGATTCTGTTGAAGAAATATGATATATACGCCTTACGATGCAATCTGATGGAAAAATTATTTAAATTTAAATTTACCCAAATTTAACAAATCTTACTCGACAATTCATTACATAGTATTCAATTCCTAGTTTTAGACGCCTGGGCAGCTGCCGAGATCGAACAAGATGTTGGTTCATGTTTTAGCAAATTGTATACACGCGAAAATGGAAAAAAAAAGAGAGAGACATAGAGAGACGAAAGAGAAAATTGGAAAGAGAGAGAGAGAGAAAAAAAAGAAAGAGACGAAAGTGAAAATTGGAGGGAGACAGAGAGACAGAGAGAGAGATAGGAGAGAGAGAGAGAGAGAGAGAGAGAGAGAGGAGAAAGATGGTGTAAATGAAATTTTCTTACGAGTTGTTGTGGAAATAGGATGTGAGGTGGTGGATTCCGTCGTGGACATCGTTGTGGTGTCTTGTGGTGTAGTTGATTCTGAAGAAGAAATATGATATGCCTGATGATACAATGTGAGGGCAAAATCCAAATTTAACAAATCTTACTCGACAAATCATCACATGATATTCAATTTCTAGCTTTTGACGCCTGAACGGCTGCCGAGAACAAGATGTTGCTCCACGTTGTCGAAGATTGTAAACACAAGAAAATGGAAATGAAATAGAGAGAGAGAGAGAGAGAGAGAGGGAGAGAGACCATGGAGAGACGAAAGAGAACATTGGATAGAGAGAACGGAATCGAAAAAACATATTAAACAGATATCGAGAGGGAGAAAAAGGGCAGAGAGAGAGAGAGAGAGAGATTAAGGTAAATGCTTACTTGTAGTTGAAGTGGGATTTGATGTGGTCGATTCCGATACAGAATTGGTTGTTGCTTCACGAGAAGTAGTGGATGCTGAAAACGAATCTAAAGATTTAAATTTCTGCTCTTAAACATAAGATTTTTAGAGAGAGTCAGATAAACACATAGAGAAGGGAAAGAGAGAGAGAGAGAGGGGGGGAGAGAGAGAAAGAGAGAGAGAGAGAGGGGGAGTTGGAAAGAGAGATCACTGTTGTGTGTGCTAGAGAGTAGAGATAGAAGGAAACTTGAAAATGTCCAGAATCGTGCCGCTAGATTAATATTAGGCCTTGGGTCAAGAACTCACACTTTACGCTTCCTCAAGGAGCTCCACTGGTTACCTCTACGCCAACATGTTCTGTTTAAAATCTGTTTGTATGCTTTCAAAATACTCAATCATTTGGCACCTGAATATCTTAGAGGTAAAGACAAGTTCTGGTCATGCGATTGCACTGTGAAAGAAACGTTGTGGAATCAGAAAAGGTTAATCATCTAGCATCACCTTATAAGTATTGGTTTGTACTGCAAGTTTCTGGAATCATCAAAATGATAAGAAATTTGGCACAGTCTTAAATATATCAATTAATAGGTGGTTTCCCGGCAAAATTTGTATCATCACGTATTAGTCAAAACATATTCTTTCACATGATTAGTAATAAGAGCTTTCATTTCATATTTTTGAGAGGGAGGCGCTTCCAAAACTGGTCTATACCTTTAATGACACCCTCCAAATACATACACCATCTCGTAATCTTCGCTCAGCAACCGACACAATTCCATGTAAACTTATCATTCCCAAATCTAGACTCTCAGCAGCTGAAAAAGGTTGAGCAGTAGCCGCACCAAAGACTTGGAACAGCATCCCCCTTTACATAAGGGAACTTACATGTACATGTCTAGCCACCTTCAACAGATCCCTCAAAACTTACCTTTCCCCCGGTGATCTATGTGATGTACTTTATGTGAGACTGTAAATTGTTATCCTCTTTTAATATACGTTTCATTTGATAAACAACCAAATTTAATAAACCTCAAGCAAGAAACGAAGGAATATTGAGATAAAGTGTAATTCACATTGTGAACAAGACTAGTAATTAATCGCCATGAATTCGTGCATCTGGGCTAGTCTACTTGAAGCATATATATCCTTGTTTGTAGAAAGGAAGAATGATATGCCGTTCTTGTATAGCAAATATTTCTCAATGTAATACAAAGTTTCGAATCGCTTTCAAAGAGTACACAGTATATCTAGTTTGAGGCAAATTTAATAATGCTTTCTGCGAGAATTTTCCCGTCCAAACTACTTTGAGGAAATGACTAGAAAGCGAGTAGTACAGTGTTAATTTGGACAATAAAGGGCTCTTCTCTTAAACGAAGATGAATCAATATATATAATTGTGAGAATAATGATGCGAAGCTCTATCAAAGTTCCCCATTGCATGAGGAGCGGATCAAGTCCTTTGGCAAAATTTACCATGATAAAGAAGGGAAATATTTACCAACGGTGTTAACCCACCTCAATACATATTTTGCTTAGTAATTTTAGATCAGTAAAGATAACATAAAAGCCATGATAATAAATTTTGATTATACAATATTGATACAATAACGGAGGGAAAAAAATACTTTGAAATGGTGAACAATTTTATGGACCTTAATTGACACAAAACATTGGTCTGTGGAAGCAACAATAAACAAAAGAGCAGAAATGTTCATGAAATGAAGATAAAGAAAGGAAATGGAAGTATTGATTTGGAAGAGAGAGGATGAGAGAGACAAAGACAGAGAGAGAGAGAAAGAGAGAGAGAGAGAGAGAGAGAGAGATAGAGAAAGAGAAAATTTCTTACCGAAAGTTGTACGGCTTAATGTGGTCGAAGGAGTCGTAGAATTAGTTTTAGGGGCTGAAGAAAAAACAATATAAACGATAAACGCCTTTTGAAATAAATCATTATGAACTGACAAATCGCGCTACATAATAATGAAGAAACAAACAGACGAGCTAATAAATGAGGAATTTGCCTCATCGATATAAGAGGGTTTTTTTTTTAAATTTTGGTGATTTATGTTAATAATCCATGTAGACACTAGGGAAAAGGAAAACTAGCTCCGAGCGCTTTTATCATCTTATACTTCATATGGGAATTATTCTCTTTTTGTGTTATGTTCAGCAAAGCCCGCAGGAAAATAAAACTAGAAATGGCAAAAAGGAGAACTGTCGCAATTTCATACAAATTATACTGGACAGTTCCATTTAATACTAGATTTTGACGCCTCAGCGGCTGCCGAATGCCAGATGTTGCTACACGTTGTAGCACATTCTATATACTTGAAAGTAAAAGTAAAATTGAAATAGAAAGACAGGGGGAGGGAGGGGGGGGGGAAATCATGATTCTTAACGCCTAAACTTTGTACCGCCTTGTCCAATTTTTCATTCATTATTGCATATTTCTACGTCTGAAAATGTTTCGACATTGACTCCTCTCTGACCTCAGAAAGGATTCAATTTCCCTACACATGCATACATTTTAGTCGTTAATAAGTTCTTGATGGTATAATTACTATTATTGCTCAAGAATCATAATTTTCTAATGCATTCGATCTCTTCACTCCAATGATTTATGGTATTTTTAATTAGTCTACCTACAAGTTGGGCTAACATTTCATAATTGTTATGATCATAACTATAAACCTAAAACTCACCAGATAACTTGCAAACGAAATGTCGTTTAATACCCTTCAATGAGATGGGAAACGAGGGCATGTACTCCGGCACTGTAGGCATCAATTCACCATTAACAAGAATCGGCTGGCAATGATTATCCTCCGTAAGCAACACCCCATCGGCCATGTTTGTAGACCCCCGCGCGTTAGCTAAAACACATCAATATATACAATACGTCGTTAAATACACAAAATGCAAAAGTTGACTTAATACACACACAAGAACAAAATCCTTTGCTTCGCGAGGAATAAATACAAAATATAATTATCATTACTTTCGTTCAATAGATTTCGCCCTCAATAATTTTGTTCGCAGACCATTTAGACTACCGCATCTAATATTCTCTCTCTCTCTCTCTCTCTCTCTCTCTCTCTCTCTTTCACTCACCCCTCTCATTCTTCTTCCATACACTCTCCACATTTTGTCATTCGATAGGGAAGTTCCCCTATGCCGTCATACCCATACCCAAACCCTTCTTACGTTACTGGTCTGGGAGTTACGAATAACTGATGGGGACACATGCCATCACTTTTGACTCGTTTGGGCAAACATGCGGTAGCAGAAAGAGGATGAATCAGGAACCGGTCAAAAACATTAAAATGCATGTCGTGTCTTTATTCAAAATACGTCCCGACGCAATTATTAGCGTCATGTCTTTATTCGAACTACGACATAACAGGTTGTTATGTTTTTGACAGATTCCGGCTTCTATAAAGTAAGGGAACCATCCCCCAGACCATCATGAGCCGACCTCCCTAGCTTTCTTTACTTCCACGATCACCTAAATTGACGACATATTTTCACTTCAAATATGAGATACTATATTTAGTCGGGTCGAGTTCCACCAAAATGGCCGCCAGTCTTATTACTATTTACAGTTAAGTTATAATTAGCAAGATTCAAAATATTTTTTAGAGGTCAGGATAATCACTGGTATGCTTTGAATTATTATGGTTTAGAGTTGCCTTAATTTGCCAAATTTCGTATTCCAATATAGCCGCCGGAAACTGAAATTAGTCATAATTTTTGATATATCTATATATGATTTATCAGGACAATCACCCCCGGAAAATTACCCCCTGTAAAACTACCCCCGAAGGACAATTTCCCTCTGGAAAATACCCCCCCCCCCCGTGGACAATTACCCCCTGGGGGGGGGGGGTGATTGTCCTAAAAATCCTATCTTAGAGATGTAATTTTGATGTCTTTCACCAAAGTTGACCACCTGTTGACCACAATAGCAACATATAAGTTGCTATGTCAGACATGTCAGACTAAACTAATATTCTAGAATAGACAATGGTATGTAATTTCCCCCAGCTTAGCACACGTTCATAATATAATTGCATGCTTCCATACATATGTACAATACATCATCATTGCCTTTGTCTTCCTGGTGATGCTATGTATGTCTGACATAGCAACTTGTATGCTGCTATTGTATTACGTATTGTAACAGGTGGTCGACTTCGGCAAAGATACATACCACTTTCTCAAGTTAGCTCATTGATGACTGACAGATGATAAAACAAGGGGAATGAGAACTGGAGATTTTTGGGGTGGAGCTTAGCAAGTTTGAAAAAAAAAATTTTTTAAAATATTTAAAAATCTATGAAACAAATTCAGAAGTTTACATAACAACATATGGGATGTATGCACAACTGCACACCAACAGGACTAATAATCTTTTAAAGTCCACTCCAAATTTTATTAAGTTAAACCGAAAATGGAAATTCTTTTTGCCCAATTGATCGTGAGCCCGGCAGCCACTGAGCAGCGCCAGATCGACGTTGTTCAATTGAACGCCAAACAGGGTAGCAGCAACTCCCGTCTTTTAACGTCTTTTGGTATGACGCGGCCGAAGTTCGAACCCACGCCCTCCCGGTTATGTAAGAACATACAATTTAAATGAAAACATCATCTTTGATCAAAATTGATTCAGAGACGGCTGAAATAACCTTAAATATAACGATTTCTAATATTTCACCAGCCGTTGACAAAAAAAAAACAGTTAGCGCCGATGCCAATGCCGATGTTGGCCTTTTGTTTGCTTTTTCGTGTTGCCTACGCGCAACCAGCCGAACCGTATATTGTTATTATTAATTAATTAATTACTTAACAGTCACCGTATCTTTTTTTAAGTTGAGCTGAATTGATATGATCGTATTGGCTAAATATCACACATCAAGGACAATTACCCTCGAGGACAATTATCTCCCGAGCTGTTAGCTATAAGTTAATTACAATACCTATTATGTAGACATAGCCTAAATATCTGTTACTCGTTATTAGGCACCTTGTTTATCCTAATAAACGTATCTTCCATTTCAAAGTAGAGAACACAATCTCCATTGTTTTATTTGACTGTGTGCGGATAAGTGACACTCGACGTTACGCCACCAGGAACAATTATCATCATCATTATCATAAGTACACCGCCGAGGACAATAACCCCCTTTTACAGTCACCCCCCCCCCCCCTGAGGACAATTACGCCCCCTAAAAATTACCCTCTAGGACAACTACACCCGTGCACAATCCCCCCCCCCCCCCTTTGACGGTCAATCCCCTCCCCCTCTCTCTTCGTATTAGGCCTACCCCCGAACAAAAATTCTGCTTTTATCAAAAGCAACTGATTATCAGGGTGGACTTCCCGATTTATTTACAGGGGGTGGGGTAAATTTTAGGGGGTGTTTTTTCATCAGGGTGTTTGTCCTCTGGGGTAAATTTCCGGTGGGTTGTTGTCCTTGTGGGGATAGTTTTCGTGGGGGAACTCATGGGGGGGGGGGTGATTGTCCAGGGGTAATTGTCCTGATACGCTATGGCGGCTATTTTGAAATTCGACCTAGAATTTTTGCAGGGAGGTCTCCTGAACACGTTGATATCAAACAAACTTTTACAAAATCCAATGTCTCAAAGCCCTCACATATGGAGTCTTGCCCCCAAGGTGACGGATCTAGCCCGCGATTATGCTCCTAATTAATTACAATAAAAGACTAAATTCATTCTAACTCTCACCAAAAACAGATAAGGTACAGAGAAGTAGGAACATGTCTCTCAGGGTAACAGCGGATGTATGTCTCTGCATCTATTGTCACAAAGAAACAAAATGAAGGGATTCAGCACTGTAAAAGTAAAACCGTTTACTCACTCTTACGAAAAGTGATGTAGAAAGATGAAGATGAAGCCCTGAAACTATTGGATTGGTTTATAGATAAGGATGGGGATAACGAAAATATTTTGATAAAGAACGCTTTGCGAATTGTCTTTGTTTTTAATAACCAGACATACCACATGATGTTATTAATGTTAGGTAGACATAACTAAATTGAAAATTCTAAGAAATGGGAAATGTTGATTCCCCATGTCCTTCAACAACAACAAATATTCATATTTCATTTTAGTTTTACCTTGTATTTCTTTGAAATATTCATTTATGAAATTCAGATATTGTTACATTTGTTGTCCAATACACAATTAATCATCATCATCCGCGAATTCGATGATAAAACCCCCATTCGACCCTTGATTCGTCTTACCTTTATAGAAATTGTCCTCTGCTCTAATCTTGTATAGATACTTTTTCAGTCGAACAGCAATCTTGAAGTTTACAGCACCGACAGTTATTTTCCAAACAAGAACAAAATGGGAAGGTGCTTATTTGCACACAAATAATAGATGGAAAATGCTTGAAGTTCAATAGGTAATGTAGTTCATTGAATGAACGACACTACAATTCGGCGGCTGGTCGCTATCGAGTTCTGTTTGGGATGTTCCTGCTGAAGGAGCATTATACAGAAATGGCTGACTCAATTCGTGTGGTAGATGTTGTATACTGTCGGACCAATCAGAGAGCTGCATAGTGTGTAACTATAATCACTTTCATATATACATGTATAAAAACATTATGGAGGGTCTATCTACGAATTGATATGCAGCGGCGGATCTAGGGTTTCCGAATAAGGGGGGGGGGGGGACCAACGTTTGCGCAAAGCGCGCTACCAGCGCATTGTCGTTAGTCCTTGCATGCTCGTTCACGAATACGTGTCACTTGATAGCTTTCATCCAATTTTCCAACAGGGACTCTCCTTTAAAATAACGTGTAGTATAAATAATTAATGTCATTACTCGCTGGAAGTAGGTTTTAATATAACTCGAGCGAGACTTCTCGAATATTCTACAATATAAATACAATAGTACTAGAAGAAGACTAAACAAAAAAGATAAAAAGGCCAATAACAATGTATATGATTATTAACACGTACGAAAATTGTGAAAAATGGGCTTTTACTTCGAGATAAAATCGCCAAAATGACCCTTAAAAATGGGTAGGGATTTCGAGGCTTGAACGGCACACTTGAAAGGCATTAATCCTCATTACCAGGTCCTTCGGAGAGGACCTAAAGCCATCGGCCGTCTGGTTGCTTAATAACAGTCAGGTAAAATAACCACCATCACCACCGTTCAAACTAAATATGAGTACCCCCGCCCCCCCCCCCCCCCAAGTGTTGGTTTACCAACAATTGCTCTACGTTATATGCGTCCCGGAAAAAACGAAACCGAGAATTATCGTTGTTTTATCATAACGTAGTCACATTTATAATTACTAAATTACACATATTTGGAAAGCTTAGATCGCCCTCTTTCATTTGATTATGATGCATATTTTCGCATGAGTGATTAAAATGAAGTTGAAGAGAGGAAATCAAAAAGTCATTTGGCGGACAGTTTCTGAATTTCAAAGAGATAATCCCATTTCTAGAAAGTTGAAGCTCTGCCCTTTCATATAACACCTCAAACAGGAAAAATGAGCAAGGAATGACAAAGTTCTGTTTGTTTAAAAAAGTGCTTGCATTTCCATAATTTTATCAAACGAATTCGTTTTCACTGGGTGCCTGCCATAGCAACATGCAGAATTGACAACAGACTTAACTCCGTTTCGTTGACAATCAGCCATGCATGAAGTCTTTCGTCTACGGCTGATTGTCAACGAAATGATAAACCAACGATTATGTAGTCATGTATGGTAATACTAAGGAAATACTAAGCCAACAAATCATCAAACACACACACACACACGCACACACACACGCACACACACACACACACACACACACACACACGCATGCAGACACCCCTTGCGCATCCCGTGTTAACGTCATGACCGGACTCGGTGCTTTATAATTACTTTTATATTATGCATTACTAGGTCCCGAAGCAAGCGTATAATAAAATCAAAAGGAAGGAAGATGGAAGAAGAAATAGATGAAGAAAGGCTGTTTTTATGGGGTATCTAAATGAGGGCTTAATGTAGACTATCCTGTTGGAATATAACTGTCATGAATATTGTGATCTGGTGTTACGTTTGATTTGCTACTAAATCTCATTACATTTTAACCTATTTTATCACTGCATTTACATTTTAAAATATGGTGCCGTTTCCATAATAATAATTGTCAGTCAGTACAAATACAATTATATGTATATTCATGAATGAAAATGTGAACTTTAATATGAATATTAGCTTCATCGTTGCCATGTTAAAGGTAAAGACCAGTATTGGAAACGCCCACTTTCAAAAAATGAAATGGAAGCTCTTATTACCAATCATGTGAAAGAATATGTTTTGACTACATGATGATAAAAAATTTGCCGGGAAACCGCCTACTAATTGATATATTTGGTAAATTAGTTTATCTATTGGGATGTGATAGATAAAACGCGAGTGTGCGTAGTCCCATATACATCTTTCTGTGTACAGTGCTTGTAACTTTACGAAGACTGGGCCAAATTTCTTATCATTTTGATGATGCCAGCACCTTGCAGTACACACCAATACTTATATGCTAGATGATTAACCTTTTCTGATCGATTCCACAACGTTTCTTTCACAATGCAATCGCATGACCATAACTGGTCTTTATCTTTAAGATAGTTAATGATAAACATGATATAGTGACTTCGTCAACTATAGAAGCCATTTTACTCTGTCTTTCTTTGAATTTTAACGTGACATAATTGGCCTTGAATGGCGGAAATTGTTTAGAATAATAATTGGTACACATGATTAGACCTTCATTTTTATTTGCTAGCGCTTTTTTTAACACTGCTTTCATCAGTTAATGATCACCTACACTGTACTTATCCTAATCACGAAATAATTATATTCGGTTTTCAACAACCAATAGACGTGTTCATGCCACGGCTCAATGATTGGTAATTGGTGATTATGTGGATGTCGGGCACGATGCATTGTACTTCTGGTCGCCATGGCGTTCATTCTTTCTCATCTCGTTTCTATTTGTTACAAATGCTTAGAGTCAATGGTTTCATTTTGGCAGGTTGGTGGTTTTCTTTTTTTCTCTTTTGGTCGGGGGGGGGGGGGGGGTATCGGGATATCGGACATCATCAAAATAAATGTCCCAGTTACGAATGTATGGTCCACCGCTATAAATCTCATCCAAACTCCCTGAGAGTCAGTACCTTCACAGTGCGACCCAGAAAAAACGAAACCGAGAATTATCGATGTGTTATCATAACTTAATCACAATTATAATTAATAAATGACACATATTTGTAAAGCTTAGATCCTCCTCTTTCATTATTTTGAAGCAAATCATATGATACATATTTCACACATGAGTGATTAAAAGCAATTTGAAGGAAGGAAACCAAAAGGTCATTTGGCGGGCAGTATCTGAATTTCGAAGAAAAATTCACATTTCTAGAAAGTTCATTTTCTGTTCTTTTATATAACACCTCAAGCAGGAAAAATGAGCCAGGAATAACAGAGTTCTGTTTGTTTAAAGTGATGTTTGCATTAATTTGATTAAACGAATTTGTTTCGAGTCCACTGGCTGCCTGCCGTAGCAAAAAACGGAGTTGACAAAAGATTTAACTCCGTTTCGTTGACGATCAGACATAGACGAAAGACTTCATGCATGGCTGATTAATATAAAAAATAAGAACCTTCCGATTAGCATATTTAATGTGCGGATAAAAACAATTTAATTCTGAGTAACAGACCCTTGGTAAAAAGAACGAGTGTATATTATGTGTGGAACTCACGATTACAAACCTTCACAAGAGAGAGAGAGAGGGGGAGAGAGAGAAAAAGAGAGAGAGAGTGAGGGAGAGAGAGAGAGAGAGGGAGAGAAAGAGAGAGAGAAAAATAGAGAAAGGGAGAGAGAACCCATGATAACGAGCTTCCCATCATATCACTTCAGAAAAAGTTTAGAAAGTAACGGAAATATCAGATGACATGATAGCCTATGAAAATTGATAGGGTTATTCGGTAGGATTATATTAATTTAAGCTGAGTCATTGGGGAAAACGAGAAATGTTGCAATCCATGCTCGTTCGAACTGAGATACTGATGGTACGCTGATCAGAAGATAAGATAGATAATTAAACTAGTTAAGCTAACAATCTGATATGCTAAGTCCTATAAGCAGCATGAAAGCCTCATTTTGCTCTTACTTTTGCAATGTGAAGGAGATTGGTACATACTATTCAAACGTTGGTAGTATAAAACATGAGTGTCTTCCAAAAACATAATACTTCCTGACGAACTCGGTTCCAAAAAAATTGCTCTGGTTAGAACTTTCATTGGTTTTGTCTGGGCTTTCAAGATTTTCAAGGGATGTATTTGGCTCTTGTCTTTGTACAGGTAAGGAAGAGAAACGTCTTGAACTAGTTTATATACCGTATCTGTATGTTGTCACCTCCACACACAATTATTTACATGCTAGTAATAGCCTGGATATATAGCGCTTGATACGAAATACCGTCTCTATTAAACTTAAAGGCCGTCTGTACTAGTTTGGCTAGGGGGCATTAGATCACCCAGTGTGGTCACTGACAGCTATGTTGCTATCTCATCAACTCAACTCTCACTAAACATAAGAAAAAGAGGATCATGGGGACCTATGGTCACCGATTAGGCATATATAGAGGGAGCAAATAGCTCCAAGTACAGTGGGACTTTAAGCCCTTTACAGATATTATTATTATTACCCCGGTCATCTGATTCAATTACGCACAATGTGCACCATCTCCTCGCCCTGGGGAGTATTCCAAAAATTTGGTAACCGTGAGTGCATATTATGCACAAGGGCTTTCGTCATCTCTCCTGGGTATGGAGTGGCAAATGCAGATTGATGCATTGGCAAAGGACATTAGTGCCGTGTCGAGGATCGACCACTCAGTTCATACTGTTTCCTGCGCTAACAAGTTTGAGTAAATAGGGACTACTATCCTTTAGGCTTTAGATTCGATGTATGAATTTCTCATATGGAATTATTGGGATTCCTTGTATTTAAAGGTAATACAAAGTTTTGGGAAATTTTGAAAGTTGAGTGGAAAGTGATTCTTTACAATGTTGATATATTTGCATGCCTCTGTATATGCACTAGAAAATTTAGCCCCTAAAACATTTCTGCTTTCGAGAAAAATTGAATATCAAAATTTACCGGTGCTCCCCGTAAATTTTGACAAATTTCAAATAGCGCCTACGACCGTACAATGGTAGCTGCGACCATGAAAATCTCAGAATATGTAGTTGTGGTATATAATTTCCAAATAGGAAAGCTAATCAATCGATTTTAGTCAAGTAACATTGTTTTATAGCTTAATTAATATCTCGACCTTGAGAAGGAGCTATACAAAATAACGAGTTTATTCATACAATTTCATAATTTTAGACTCGATTTCAACCACGACAACCGTCACTGAATATTGTAGGATCGCATATGCTTCCAATACGTTCATCTGAACTAAATTCATTACCCCATACCAAAACTTTGTATTATTTAACAGGCTTTCCCATCTTTAAGAGACTTTCCTAAACTTTAGCTGGGATTCATTTGCATCCCGGTGTGTTATTGTTTTGAATTTTGAACCATTGATTCTCTTAATTTTCCCTGTTTTTTCCTTTTAGGACTTTTGAGAGGACATTGGTAATTATCCAATTTAGCCGACAATGATAGTTTGGCAGACACACCCCTCGCTCTCCAGAAGGTGCTCTACCGCCACCTAATGCTTCGCATCCTCGCTCTTATTCCAAAACAACAAAGGGGATTGCCCTTTTTGCATCCAAGAATCGAAGATAACGTATCGCGCCCACAGAAATAATTTACAGTTCTGCGATCGCGCCACCGCCAATTGTGTCGATCAGGACAGCAGAAAAAGTGAGTTACATTATATTTGAGTCATATTAATCGTTTTCAATGCAACTTGTACATTTATTTTTGTAAAGAATGATAAGTTAACTAGAACGCCATGATTAAATGTTACAGAATGATGCACAAAGTGCAGTGTTTTATGTGGTGTTTACTTATTGATGAGGTGGGCCGAGCCTGGGAAATGGTCCCACTCGTTGATATTTATGTTTGTTGATAGTTGCATGGCATGATCTATTGACAGAGCACTCCAGTAAAGCGTAGAGAGTCATAGACCGAAAGCTTCAGTCTCTATAATCGTCGGTTGTTCCACTGAGACTACGTCTGGCTCCACTAGACCTCCGGTTATAGAGACAGAACGATCGCCTATGCCAGCCTATGTTGAAGATATCACGGCTAGATTTTAGCTGCTAGGCCCCTCCCACAAACATGACAAACTTGCCACGGCCGTATTGTTATGCCCCCAAAATCCCCCAAAATGTCATTTTACCTCGTCCATATCCAATTTTAAATTAGGCCTAGGCTATAATACATCGGTTCCACTTACTAAATTTATTGAAATATTCCGTTTAATGGTCCCTTTTAAGGAAATTATGGGTCAAAATCGACATCCATGTTGAAAATCTTGCAAGCCGTGTTAAACTCTCGCTGCCGTCAATCTCATCCCTTCTAGTCTACGCCGAAGGCAAAATGATTATGAAGGAAAAACTGTGCGCCATCTACACGTTCGTAATGGCGTTATCACAGTTTTTCCTTCATAATCATTTTGCCTTCGGCGTAGACTAGAAGGGATGAGATTGACGGCAGCGAGAGTTTAACACGGCTTGCAAGATTTTCAACATGGATGTCGATTTTGACCCATAATTTCCTTAAAAGGGACCATTAAACGGAATATTTCAATAAATTTAGTAAGTGGAACCGATGTATAATAGCCTAGGCCTAATTTAAAATTGCATATGGACGAGGTAAAATGACATTTTGGGGGATTTTGGGGGCATAACAATACGGCCGTGGCAAGTTTGTTCATGTTTGTGGGAGGGGCCTAACGGCTAAAATCTAGCCGTGATATCTTCAACATAGGCTGGCATAGGCGATCGTTCTGTCTCTATAACCGGAGGTCTAGTGGAGCCAGACGTAGTCTCAGTGGAACAACCGACGATTATAGAGACTGAAGCTTTCGGTCTAAGAGAGTCAATGCTAACGCGTATTGACCTCTAGCGCTACTCTACGTGCTAATAGGCAGCAATTGCACACATAAATAGTCAATACACAAATAACACACAAATGCATGCAATGATGCCGATGTGGCTTTAGTTTGACAGTGTCGGTAGATCTAGTCTAGACTCACAAATTTTTTCTAACATGAGTAGAAAAAACTGTATTTTACTGCGATTTAGGTGTCATCAATTGTCCCTAAACCATAGATTTTGAGTGAACCAGTTGAGTTTTTTACAGTGGTGTTTGAAATGTTGAGAATCAATAGAACAGGTTTTAATACACAACCAGGATAGTAATGCAGCTATGTGTGTGAGAGAGCTGTGGAAGAAGAAGGAGAAAGAGAAGAGGAAAGGAGGAGGAGGAAGAGAAGCAATAGTTTTACTCTCAATTTCTTTGCTTTCTGATAGTTATCTATGAGAAGTGATTAAATATTTTAAAAAATGAATGTTTCTAGAAAGAAAAACAAACACCACTTGCTCTTATCTATAATCATATCTCTTCACCCAATGCATTAAATGGCATTATTATCATTTTGATTATTACTCCCCCCCCCCCTTTTCTTTGTCTCTTAGAAGCTGCAGGCTTTCTCATTTCTAGATCCAAATTCTGACTACTGTGAGATCTTTGACTAACATTGATCACCATGGGTCTGTTCAGCAAAAGAGGCAGCCTAAATCTCTCCAAGGCTGAAGCCTCCAACCAGGTTCATGACCAGATTGACCCCAAATTTGAGAAACCGGACAACCAGTTGGACACCTGGACATACTCCGTTGAAGATGACACCGTGGAGACGGAACTCTCCTTCGGAAACAGCCATCGTGTCGTCCAAGACGGTGACGAGGATCCACCGGGTTGGTCTGGGGTAACAGCCTCCATGGATGATGCTGGGAGCATGAACTTTATCCCTGGCATAGCGACAGATCCCAAGGGAGGAGTTACAGACTTTGGTGATAGCAGCAAGGGGTGTTGCGCTAAATGCCGATACTCCTGCAAGGTCGCCTTTCGACCCTGCACCACCAAGCACAACCCTCTCCCGCACAATCCATCAAGGTGGAAACGATTCAAATTTGCTTTTCTCTGCCCTCCTCACGGTATCGTTGGCAGGACTTTGACTTGTCTCATACTTGTGTTACTGTTGTGGGCAGTTCTGTTCACTATAACAGGGGCTGAAGCGTTACCGGGCGGTAATTTGTTTGGACTGTATGTACTTATTATCAGCAGTATTGTACTTGGGTTGTTGGTCAACAAAATTCTGCGGCTTCCAGCCCTACTAGGTAAGTCATAGTTCATAGCCTTGTTGCTTTCCTCTTTGATAATTGAAAATAGATGTGTGCAGGTTTGCAAACTGCAGATGTGGCATACTTTGAAATGTTCTCATGTTGAACTGTTAATTTGCGTAGAGATTAACAAAAAAGCCTATCAAATAAAAAAAACTTGACATGTGTTTAATTATGAATGTTAAAACGTTATATTTGCAAAGTGCTTTCTTAGTAAAAGTGCTCATCATTTTTTTATTTTCATCCTGACATAATCATCATTCCACGATCCTACTTTATAATTCATCAATCCATTTTGAATTTCTAGGAAAAAGGCGAGTAATTCTTGAATTGAAAGTTGTAGTTTAAACTACCTATAGCACCAAAAAGGTGAAAAGGCAAATCCACCCTGATATTAAAATGGTTTCATTATAAGTAGAAAAACAAGAGAAACAAGTGGAAATTTGAGCAAAATCCAATTAAAAATAGGAAAGTTATGAATTTTTGAAGTTTTTGAATTAATCATCGGTGAAACACATATTAGCAACACTGTGATGAATCTTGCGAGCTCCTCTCTAATTTGCTCTGTACAGAAAATTTTCATAAACTTTCATTTTCATAGTTATTGATGGGAGAAACTAATTTTTTTCATACAGGGGTTGTATGAAACATATTTGCAATACCGTTAACTATATTTAAAGTGAATGTATGATTGAAAATCATAAACAAATTATTTTTATTTTTTATTTTTTAGTACAGAGCAATCGGGAGGAAACCTGGCAAGCTAGATCACAGACGTGCCAATTTGGGTTTGAGTGATCTTTTACATTCAAAAATTCTTTCTTATTTTTAATCAGTGTTGCTCAAATTTTCACTGACCTGTTTATCTAATTTTTCTGCTTCTGTTTCAAAGCAACTTAATATCAGGTAGATTTCCTCTTTAATACATGATGGCATCAGTATATCATCAGTAAAAACAGGCAAGACCTGGACAAACGTTTCGCAGCCTTCCTTTCATAACTTCTTGCTCCCTCCCCTCCCCCTCCCTTGCCCCTACCCCTCCCACAGGTATGCTAGCTGCTGGATTCATCCTAAAGAACGTGAAGGCGATCGACATAGCCAACGACATCTCCCGAGAGTGGGCCAGTGCTCTTCGCAGCATCGCCCTGGTAGTCATCCTGCTCCGCGCTGGGCTGGGCATCGATGCCAAGGCTCTTCGTCGGCTGAGTCTCGTGTGTCTCAGACTGTCCTTTGTACCCTCCATCCTGGAGGCAGTCATCATAGCTGTTGCATCTCACTTCCTCATAGACTTCCCCTGGGAGTGGGCTTTCATGCTTGGGTAAGAAACAAGGCACAGTTGTGGTAATACAGTCAAACCTGTCTACTGCGCCCACCAAGGGAAACACAAAAAGTGGTCTTTGTAGACAGGTTCCTTCAGTACATGTTTTAGTGAGAAACCATTTTCAAGGGAAACAAATCATGTGCTTGTTGTAGACAGGTGGTCTTTGTAGATGGTGGTCACTAAAGCAGGTTTGACTGTAGTACAGACACTAAGTTAGGTCTCTAGTTTGCTAAACCAGCAGCTATCATAGTTGTTGCCTCTCCCTTCTTTTTAGACTCCCCCTGGGAGTTGGCTTTCATGCTTAGGTAAGAAACCAGGCACACTTGTGCTAATATTTTAACCAGTAGTATAAGTATGGCATCTCTCTAAGTTTTAAGGTATACTTAAAGGGGAGGACTCCCCAAACTGGCCCTGTAAGATCTTTAGATGTTTGGTATTACAAATTTGGTGAGGGAGACCATTATGCCCTCCTCCCATAATTTGGGGGTTGAAATCAAGCCCTTTCCTCCAAAATCAATTGGTGTTTAATCGATTGACAATATCCCGTATACATCTTATCATATTATTTTAGTAGATGTTCTGTATGTATATTCTGGTGTTCGTTGGATTATATCTACCGGTACGTAAACCTTTATCGTGGTCATCAGAATTCAGGACTAGCGCTACACACGTGATACAGCCACATATTTAAGTTAATTTGTGGATGATTTAGCTTTCAGCTTCAAATTATCAGAGATCTCGCCTGTAGAGTTGATGCATGGTTTAGCTTGATTACTGAATGGGGCCTATCGTGCCTAGAAATGCATCTCTAGATTTAACCCTAATTCCTTGAATTCCCAGAAACATTTCATTACCATCAGAGCACATTTACATACTATGTATAAGGCAGAGTGTTGCGATCTAGTGGATAAGTCACCAATCTGTAGATCACAATTTACAGGGTTCGATTCCCTGTTCTTACATCCTTTAGCAAAACATTGATCTACACTTGACCCAAATGTAGTAAGTGGATATCTGGTAGGTTTCATTCCTTGAATGCACGGGGCGCTACAGTTTCCGGAGCTAAAAGCTTGGGTAATTATGTCCTAAGTCCTTTGGATGCACATAAGGACATAATGATCATACAAAAACAGAATTCTAAAGCCTGTCTGTCCTAGTTTGACCAGGGGGATTAGACCTCACTGCAAGGTCACTAACAGGTGGTTATCTCATCAAATCAGCTCTCAATTAACATACAAAAAAGAGGATCATGGGGGACCAACAGGCACTGATTAGGCATTATTTGATATATAGAGGGCGCAAGTAGCTGTAAGTAGTGTAATGGGGCTTTAATATTATCATCATCCTGTTCATACCCCAGATTTGTCTTGGCAGCGGTTTCACCTGCAGTGGTGGTTCCTTGTCTCCTGGTCCTGCAGAAGGGTGGCTATGGAGCCAAGAAGGGCATCCCAACCCTCGCCATAGCATCCTGTAGTCTGGATAATGTCCTCTGCATCAGTGCTTTCGGGGTCGCCATGGGAATATCTTTCTCATCAGGTAGTTTGTTTTTCAGCATGTTATTTATTCAATTTATTTACAAGTCACTCTCCTATTGGTAGTTTGATAATTACTTTCTTTTTAATTCATAATCGCTGGAGAGTGGAGGGGGCAGTGTATGTAATTTTCTTGTAATTCTGATGATTCCAAAACCCTACAATATACAATTATTCTTACGTACTACTTTACCTTTCTCAATAATTTTAATAGTTTCTTTCTCATTGCATGAAAATAAATCAAATGTTATCTCTGAAAGCTTATTATCTGATGTCTCTTTTTTTCTGATTTGCAGGGAGTCTTGTCCTGAAGATCCTCCAGGGTCCCTTAGAGGTTTTGATTGGAGTTTGTTTTGGAGTGGTTGCTGGTGCTCTACTTTGGTTTATTCCAAGCAAGGACTTGGTGAGTGACAGCAAGGTTGAAGATACAAGCTTTACTAAGCAATACAGTTAAAGACCCTGTTGGAAGCGAAAAATAAAATAGATGAATTCTATATCAACGGAAAATAAAAAATGCTTTTAAAAGCCGAAGTTGTCGACTAAAAACTACACATCAATTTGATGACATCATCTTATGTGGAGTACTCATGTTCACAATGACTTTGCATTAATTGAGCATGTCTCCTCGCCTTAGCTATTTAGGTGAGCTGATTGGGTTCACATGTTATATTGTCACCATAACTGTGGCGAATTTGACCCCTATTGATCCATAATTTGGAGGGGTGCGGAAAATGGGGTTTTAATTTGCTTTTGTGCAGTACTGACGGGGAAAATACTGTGTATTCCTCTATATACCGCTATAAAGTTGTATTTTCATCGAATAGGATCTTTAAACTATTTGGGCCTGTTCACTTAGGCTATGGTAAACCTTGGCATTTAGGGGGCACAAAGTAAGTGGCCAGTGGGATGAAAAAGATGGTTGCATAGAGCAAAGATCCCATGCATACTCACTTGCCTATGAGTGATAACATGCAAAAGTGAGAAGCGCAGTATGCTTTAAAAAAAAAACAGCTGTGAGCCTTGGCATATGTGAACAAGTCTTAAAACCTGCGAAATAAATGAGATTTGTATAATTCACACTTGGTAGGATTTCATGATCAGTTAATGGTACAGGGAAGCAGTATGTTCAGAGAATGCAAGACATGATTCTGGAGTTGTTGTGGTAAAGTGGTTCATTCACTCGTCTCTTAATCCAAGGGTTAAAGGTTCAAAACCTTGCCCAGTTGCAAAACAACTCATTTCTGTTGACAAGAAATTTATCCCAGTTGTAATTGGGTTCCTGATATGTTCAAGCAGTACATATATTACCACTCGACTATGGCTGGGGTAATAATGATGTAGCACCAGGAGCGTCATGGCACTACAGACATGAGCGCTACATGAGAAGCCACTACTATTGCTATTGTCAACATTAATATGAGTTTTGTTTTTCTTTCCCTTGCAGAAAACTTTGACTCAACTGAGGTTTTTGTTCCTGTTCTGCGGTGGTCTGTTTGCAGTCTTTGGTAGTACCGCGGCTTCCTATCCTGGGGCCGGAGCTCTGGGGTGTCTTACGCTAGCTTTCATGGCTGCTCTGGGATGGAAGGATGAGAAGGTGAGAAAGATGCAGTTAAAAGCTTGACAGAAATATGATAATGATAATAATGGTTTCTTATTAAAATGTACAACCAATCACCTTAAAAATCATTTGTGTACAGCTAGAATGCATAAAATCAACCACTAATTAGTTTACTTGGCATGCTATGGGAGTCAAGTGGATATGGCAGATTAGCCTTGCACTTAAACAAGTTATCCAATAAAGTCTAGTACTATTTCTACACTACTACTAACGGTTAATGTGTATAAAGACAAAATAAAGAATAACATTAGTACCGCACACAGAGCACAAGTCGGACTCAGGTAACGTGCAGTTCCTTTTCTATGCGAAAGCCAACATGCATAGAGTAGTGTATTCACAAGTCCCTTTCTGTCAGTTGAGATTAAAAGTCTCCATTATTCTCTGTTTTCGCATTTACCGGTATTGCTATGATAAATGTTAAGAACAACATCATATCTATCAATAAGTACATAAACTTACATTTATATTCAGTTACAGTTACATCTATGATATTCTAAGATATAATTGATATTCAAAAGACGATAACTTACTTAAAGAGAAGATTTAAACACTCTAAACTGACCTTTGACCCTTGATAGGTTGCTGTAGGGAAGCTGATTGGTGTCGTCTGGTGGCTGTTTGAACCAATCTTATTTGGTCTTATCGGTGCTGAGGTAGCTTTGGAGTACCTAGATGGAGAAACAGTGGGTAAGTCTATGGTAGCTTGCAAGCACAAATCTGTGTCATGTTTCTTGGCTGAAGGCTGTACATGTCGACTGGCAACACAAATTTTGAAGATATTAAAAATTCCCTAGAATTGACTTCTATGAGTATTTGAGTTCATGAGTTCCAATCTAGACTCAATATTCAGTTCTTTTCTTCAGACACTACTTACCTACCCTCTACACAGGTAGTGCAGGCAGGTATCTGACAAGAAACCAAAAAGATTCCTCAAACTTCATTGTGTGTTATGCACCAATCAGCCATCATGACATTGATCATACAATGAAGCATGATAAAAACCACTGAAGGCATACAAGAAGATCAGGTTTCATAAACAAATTATTACTGATGTTGTCAGGGAAAGCATCCTTTATTGCAGTCTGTATAGAAAGATGATTGCTATGGTGGTACCTAAAGCAGGGGAGAGTTTCACAAAGACTAAGATCGACTTTAAGTGGGACTTAACTATGGCAGGCAATTTATACAACTGGTTGCTATCACTATGGGTCTCCCAACTATGATCTTTAGATAATATTTTTTCCTTCAAAAAAGAACTATAAAAAAATGTAGATTTGTGACCATGATTTATACGTTCCTTGAGAAACTAATGCCAGGAATGGTTAGAGGAACTAGTGGCATGAATGGCCTGCCATAGCTAAGTCCAACTTAAAGTCGATCTTAGTCTTTGTGAAACACTCCCCTGGTCTCAGATCTGAGTGGTAGAACAGTGGTTTCTTAACCAGGGAAGTACCACATCTAAAACCAAGGTGATCGCTAGTGACCTTAGTAAGGCATAGATCCTGAATTACTGAGTTTATCAGCAAAGAAATAAGTGGTTTGCTCCCCTGTCCGCTTTTATTGCGCCTTGAGTAAGTAATGAGAAAAGTGCACTTTATAAATATTTATTATTATTATCTACAAGCCAGTGATACCAGTTTATCAGGCTTTTGTCTGATTTTAGGCCCTATCCCATTTTAATTTGTCAGTCCTTTCCAACCTTCATGCTTCATACTGCACTGTATCATGTTTGGGGTATCTTTCCAGGCTTATTAGGTAACGTCCAGCTGGTATTTCTGTACAAGCTTTCCTGGCAGTCCCATAATAAATCGTTGATAAAAATTAATCTTTATTATTGCTCATTGTTTGTTTACAGGTCTTGGGATCGCTACCCTGGTGCTCGGGTTGGTGATCCGTATTGCAGCAACCTGGCTGTCTGTTCTGGGAGCAAAGTTCACCAACAGAGAGAAGCTCTTCATGGTCTTTGCTTGGTTTCCAAAGGCTACTGTCCAGGTAAAAGGATACAGCGAAATGATGATAATGGTGATGGTGGTGGTGATGGTGGTGACGATGATGATGATTATGATGATGATGATCATCATGATGATGATAGTGATGGTGGTGATGATGATGAGGATGATGATGCTGGTCATGATAATGATGATGATGATGATGATGATGATGATGATGATGATGATGGTGGTGACGGCGATGATGATGATGATGGTGATGATGATGATGATGGTGATGATGATGAGGATGATGATGGTGATGAAAAAACCATGATAATAACAAACATAATGCTGAGAAGAATAATAACTGATTTGATGTAGTGTGTTACATTACAAGTAGCTGATCGAAGCGCTCACATTATTTCAGGAGATGTTTATTGGTCTAGTGGTAACATCAGTGGTACGCTCAGGTTTCTGTCTTCACAGGTACAAACTCGCCCTGATAGACCTGGGGGACGTTTCACAAAACTTGTCATCAGTGACAAATGACAGTTTATGTTATAAGCTACTGAAATCCTTGCTTCTGATTGGTGATCAACAGATTTTTTACTGATTTTTGTAATTTGTCATTGAAAAAAAAGCTTTGTGAAACGGGTCCCTGGTTCGAAAGTTAGTCACATATTTCTGGATGGTGAAGTTAAATGTGAATTCCCAGACAAAAAATAGTCATGTCTGATTGAAACACATTAGTAAAAACCCTATTACAAATGCTTTAATTATTGATGTTTTACAATGGTCATTGCATTCAATAAGGATTCTTTACTTTACAGTGCACATTCTCCACTCCACTGGGAGCAATCCAGCCTGTCTTCCTAATGAACACACATGTTTATCCAAGCATGTGTGTTTCAGCTGCTTATGCACACCTTACAACCTGGAAAGAACTGATTCAATTTTGGAGTTTCAAATTGCAATACATGATTACTGGAGTGTTATTTCAAGCTAGTATTCTTAATATATAGGATACTTTACGGAACCCCAAACACACAAAGCAAAAGATTTTCAATTCCTCTTGAGTCATTCTCTTTCATTTCATCCTATTTTTCTTGATGTGGTTAGGCTGCTCTGGGACCCTTGGCTCTAGATGAAATCATCAAACAAGGCATTGTGACTGAAGCAGATGAAGCAAATGAAATCAGAGGCATTCAGGTAAGCTCACACAGATGATGAATTTATGATAAATGAATAGAATCAAATTAAGATTATTGTATGTGAATTTATATTTCTACTGGTTACAGGATGATGACGTGGACACACTAGTTGTAAAAGATATATATCTAGGGAGTTTCTGTAATGTATGATAAATAGTCTTAACCCATTGTGTACTTGAACCAGGCATTTCCTATTGCAAACCTATGGGGAATATGGAAATTCAATACTTAATATGATAAACTTAAAATAATATTAAGATTATTCTTGAGAAAAGATGATTTCTTAAGGGCTGGTCTATATTTATGTGGGCTTCAAATGTCATCAGCTGTGTGGACAAGCTGCCCAGTCAATGGTGCACTAAGATTACAGCAAAACTAGCAAAAGGTCATGTATAAATTCTAAAGTGGTATTTGGGTCTGTTATTCTGAGAGGAAGAGTGTGGCCAGTGAGTAGGATATCACAGCAAAACACCTTGTAGTCTCAAAGTACTGTAAATTGTAAAACCAATACTTTTTGGGTGGTATTCTCGAAAGCGGCCTAAGTTAAATCAGTGGCCTAAACCTGGTTTAAACCATGGACTATCTTTTTTGCTATTCTCGAAGGTGGCCTAAAGATAAGCCAGGCTTAAATACGTCATAGTTCGGCCTAACTTTAGGCCGCTCAGAGGGCAGGTTTAAATACGTCATAGTTCGGCCTAACTTCGCGTGACGTCACTTTTTAGTTAAATCGACTGTCCGCGGAGAGTGAACGGTAAGTTTTGCATTTGAATTTCTATATTTGATAACAATTTACACTCTTTTGTATGGATAAGCGCTCATGAAAGTTACACCAGCTAATAAAGTATTTTTGTTACTTTCATGTTGCTGTACTGGTGATAATCTAAAATGCTTTTAACTGAATAAATTTGGGGGAAACTTGGTAAATGTTCACAGTGTTCGCAGAGCAGTCCCATACGTGCAAATAATTGTCGGTTAACATTTTCATTTCCTGAGATTGAGCAATTTCTTACCGGGTAATTCTTTTCTTGGCACTATTGTACTTTCGTACGCTTATACCACCTTAACATCACCTTAAAAATATCATTGCTAGACGTAGAAACTACTTTTATAGTGGATTTTCGAGACGCTGTTGCCTAAAAGTGGACTAGCACTAGGCCTAAATCTAGATCTAGCTGTATAGAAGTAGAAGTAGAAGTCTCTTTCGTTCGTTAGCCTCTGATTTGGTCGGCTCCTCTCTTTCAGGAGCCGACCCTACCCAAATCAGAGGCTAACGAACGAAAGAGACAGAAATTTCGGTCTGGTATCACCTCTGCCTGAGCTGCAGTGCTAGTTGTGGCTGTTGGTGCGATCATTTCCTACAGGATGATGATCATTTTCATAACCACCCCCAAGAAAACATTAAAAAAAAAATGTTAGGCCTACTAGACCTAGACCTCTAGCCGGCTCTAGACTAGATCTTAATTTCATCAATAAGAGTCTAGTCTAGACAGGTCTAATACAAATTGAAAGGAAATGGACAGAAGCTTCCTTTTTTTGACATAGGTCTACTTTTGCTGATAATGTTACAGTAGTTTAGGCTTATAATACTTGTTAGTAAACTAGACGTCTACAGAGAAATTGTAATTTCTTATCAAATATCAACATATTTTTTCATCTTGATTTTCTGCTATTTCAGGTTCTTTTCAATTGATGCATGGGGATGGAGAAAAAAGGCCTCTCCCAAGCTATGGTGTCCCGCCTTGTGAAGTCCATCTCAATAGCCATTGCCAGGAGATGGGAGCAATACATCACAATTCCTTCAGCAAGAGAGGCAGTCCTGCAGAGTGCAGACCCAACATGAATTGTATAATTACTGCCATTTCCCTGGCGTTAATATGGTCGGTGCTATTGATTGCACCCACATAGGCATCTCCAAGCCAGTTGGCCCAACACCAGTTATTTCCTGAACAGGAAAAAATAGATACTCCATTTTTCTTGGAGTATCTATCTGTCTGCTGGTCTGCTGGTGAGTAAAGCTGTACAGCTGTAATTATGCCTAAATTTTGTAAACTAAATCATGTTTATACAATTTGTATTAAAAAGATCTGCTGAATTATGAATCTGCAGATGTGTCTACAGGTACATTATGAAGTGATTTAAAATTGTTTTGTCTGATAAATGTAGGTGCAACCTACACTCAAACTTTTATTCATTTTACATGGGCACGAGCTAATATTTCAGCTCGATTGCCATGGCTACCAGTCATTCCTGACAGTGACAGCTTGGCCTAGACTTTTGGGCGGAACTATCTGAAAATAAGACACAAATAATCAACAGTTGATTAACTACTTTCAAATTTGGGTCAGAAGAAAATTCAAACCTACCACTAACAATTCTGGAACAAATAAGACTTAGAGACCTACAGACTACAGTACAGTGCAGTAAATTTTACTTTTACTTTTTCCCCTTTCACGAAGCTCATTTTGGGAGATAACATAAACAAAGTCAATCTTTGGTCTAATGTTAGATTGAACTGAAATGGAAAAGTTGGGCTCTAACGATTAGGGCCTTGTAAAATCTCCATTCCAGGCTGCGTTTACATCTAGGTTAGGCCAACTGTCGGCTCGTTATCTAAGTAAGATGTAGACTTGATTTCAGGAAAGGGACTAACTTCGCTATAGACTCTAACTACTTAGGGCTTTCTTAGGCCATGACATGGCAAGTACAACTTGGTGCAAGCACATTTATGAGATAGTACTGCAAGAATGTGTATGTTTGTTCTTGACTTAAAAAGAGATACCGGTAGTCATTCTGTAAATCAATGATTACTAGTAACTGAGTGGGGAGGGGGTGCCTAGTCACTGCCTACATGAAAGGCGCCTTAAGTTTTTGTTTTAAAGTTAGAATATTATTGACACTATAACTAAGACCAATTATCAATGGAGTAGATCTTTGATATTTTAATGAGGTCTAAACCTTTTTATTTTTGTTTCAGGATGATGTTTTTCTTCAGTAAAATAAATGAAGGCAAATTCCCTGATAACTGAGACAAATTCAGAGAGAGGAAGGAGAACTACTGAGCTGCTGAATTTCTGACAGGTAGGCTGTACGAATAAGTTGTTGTTTGTATGCCCAGGTACTTCAAGGATGGCATTTGTTCATTCACATTTTTCCATCAATACTTTAATGTAATTGATTAATATGCACTCCACTTTTACCACAATGTACATGCAAGACCTTTTTAATGTTTAACAGAAATAGGTTTCAATGTGCTTCCTTTCATTCTTTTCTCTTTTCATTCAACAGACATACTTGCAAGGACTATGAAGTTCTACTTAGCATCTTCAATGAACCAGACTCCATCTGCTGTAACTGTGACTGCATGGGGATCAAAACCTGTGTATTATAATCCTCATAACATGAAGCTATGGTAACAAACAAGCAACCATTGATAAAAAGCCTGATATGTCCTTGTGTGTGTGAACCACAAAGCAACCATCACTCATAAGGATGTTTTTATGTACATCAGATGTTCATTGTTTCACTGGAAAAATTGTGATTTTGAATCATTTAAGAAATCATGTTTTATAATGCGTTTTATAATATAGTGCAAGTCATGATATAACAGATTCCCTGCAAAAGAAACACGGCTCAAAAGTAGACTAAGCTTTGTTTTTAAAAAATGGGAGAACTTAGTGTAACAAATACATAACATTTAATTCTAATAGTTTCAAGTAGCAGATTATGAGGCTATTGGAGCTTAATATTTGACCTTCAATTTTATAATCGTATTCATCGTGAATTACAATCTTTTCTGTTTTAAGAAAAATAAATAAATTGAACATAATTGTTGATATGTTATATACAATATTCCTTTCATATCTTTTGATTTTAAGTGTGCATACTGTTGGGTTCATTGAATTATACATGGAAAAAGTCTTGAAATAGAACAGTGAGAGAACAGAGAGCGAGCGAGAGAGAGAGATAGAGTAAAAGAGAAAGGGAACCAAATGAGAAAGAACAATTTAATGGGGAGAGAAATAAACAATGATGTGAGATAGTGTGTGTGAGAGAGAGAGAGAGAGAGAGATGGAGATAGGAAGAAAGAGTTGGGGGGGGGGGGTACAGTGCCCCCTTTTTCAAATGCCCCTTTTTATATAGGAAAGTTCCCTTATAACTTTGTAAGAAGTGCCCCTTTTTTCCATAGGTAAAGTGCCCCTTCCCCTTTTCACCTCTGATAAGTTCTCCTTTAATTTTGACACGGGCCCCTTTTCCTTTGACAAGTTTCCATTTCCTTTGCAATAAGTGCCCCTTTTCACTTTTGAGAAGTGCCCCTTCACCTCTGATTATTGCCCTATTTAAATCTGAGAGGTGCCCCTATTAACAAAATTATCGGTGCCCCTTTTCTTTCAACAAATGCACATTTCCTTTATTATAAGTGCCTCTTTTTCATTCTCATAAGTGCCCCTTTTAAAATATGTTCAATGCCCCTTTTCAGGTGCCATATGTGACCCTTTTCACCTCTGATAATTTCCCTTTTAACAATGATACAATTCCAGCAAGTGCCCTTTTTGTTGGTGCTGCCCCCCGCTTTGGAAGTCGCTCCGCCGTCCCTGGACGTCATAATATTGCTCAAGTTGTCGAGGTGATGCATCCTCTCCACACTGCGCGCATCCATTGTCTTAGCCCACTGTCTTAGTGCATTGTGACGTCATATTGCTCAAGTTGTCGAGGTGATGCATCCTCTCCACACTGCGCGCATCCATTGTCTTAGTGCATTGTGACGTCGCAGCTTCGGTACTGAGCATGTGCAGAAACCGTAACCATGGTGAATAATCCATGGACTAAGTTAGGCCAGGTTTAAACCATGGATCAGTTAGGCCACCTTTCGAGAAATGAAAATGACTTAGGTCAGCGGCCTAAGTTAAGCCTGGCCTAACTAAACCACGGTTTAACTTAGGCCAGGTTTAACTTAGGCCGCTTTCGAGAATACCACCCATTGTTTCTAATGTTTCTAATTTTACAGTGACGACAGGCCTAATCTATGTATGTAAACCATCTTTCCTTTCTTACAATGTTATTTGTAGCTCCTGACCATTGCTGTCCTAAGCATCCTGATCACAGCTCCTATTGGAGCCATCCTCGTCACGCTGTGTGGACCAAAACTCCTGGAGAAAGAGACTAGGCCCCTCACGGTCAGCCAGCAGGCTGGAGAGCTAGGGGCGGGGCCAGGGGATGAAAGGGAGGAGCTTGTTGCCAGGCAGAGGTTATCAACGGAGTACTGAACTTGGTGACGTTAGAGTAGGAGGAGCCAGGTAATTGATCGTTGCATGCATCCACCTGTAATCTGTTCATTTGTATGTTACAGACATTCAGCAAGGCATTTTATCTTCATTGCTTCTCTCCACCCAGGTGTAAAGTGGATGCCTGGATGGGAAGAGGAGCCATATAATTGATTGTTACATGCCTTCCACCTGTTATCATTCATTTCATTCATCTGTTAAAATTCTTAAGTAAGGCATTCTATCTTCATTGCTTCTACCGGTACTCTCTACCCAGGTTATAAATGGGCTTCAGATGTCATATAAGATATAAGTAAACGAAAACTGTGATAGTTATAAACACTGACTCTGGAGTCTGCAGATGTCTGGTCAGCTCAGACTTGAGTCAAATTGAACATGGTCAAACTCAAACTTTTTTTAATTTTATTTTTAGGCCTAGACTACTGTCTATATTTTTTATTGTTTCTAAAGTCTTATAAGTTCTAGTCTATACCGTAGTATGTGTAGAGTTAAGTGTAGGTAGTCTAGTATAGACTTACAGGCGTAGTCTAGGCGCTTGTTCAGAAACCTATCAAAAATTTGACCCGTAACTCCAGCGTGGAGATACCCTACTAAAACATACCCAAAATGAGTACCTGGTTGAAGCGAAAGTCATTGTGGTTTGTTTTCAGAATTGGGAGTGTCTGTAAAATGGTACATGGCTGGAATGCTCCCTAGGGAGTGGAGAATGTGCTTATAGTGTGTGTAGACAATTCAGGGAAGTTTGATGGCTGGCATGACAATATCATCTGCTTTATGCCAGAAGGGCGTTAACTCTGTGTAAAATTATACGATTAACACCCTACTGGTTCCAAAGAGAAGATATATCTGAAAAGTGCTTAGAGATGTCTTAAATGCGGAAAGCACCATTCATACCCAGACTATCATATTTAAAGTTTACAGAGAAAGTCATACCATTTGCTAATCACCCTCGATGGCAAGATCATCAGTTCTGTGATTTGCTTGTAAAACAGACAGGCCTTACATAAATGTATTGCACACAAATTATGCTCTGTGAGAGTTGCTCCTGGTTTCTATTTTGTCAGAGATAGAGGGTTAGGATAAAGATTGCATTTAGGTTTTAAGTCAGGTTAAGGGTAAGGTTTAGGGTTAGGTTTTAGGTTACATATAGTGTTTGGTGATGAGGTATAGTTTAGAATCCAGTTGTAAGAAATTGACCTCGGAGCAATTGCCACCTGAGCATAAAATGTCCACCCAGTGATTTTAAAAGATCTGCCCCCTGGAGGGTAGTTTCTCAAAGTCCATTCTCCTCCCAAACCAAAGTGATTTCACTCCCTGATCTCTGATAAACCGTGCTCTGAGCAAAATCCTGACAGGATGATAACCAGCAGATTTTTTGCTGCATGCAAGATTTGTATACAGACATACTTGGAAGTCTTGTGTGATGAACTGTGACTCATTGCTGAAAGAAACTCACAAAAAACTGCCCTTAAAAATAATCTTTTCTCTGTTACATCATTCTTCATGTTTACACTGTACTTCTCAATTGGATTTGTGTTTTATGTAAATACATTCATCATTCATCTACATACTTGTTTGTAATCTTTATTTTGAAACTGAAAAATACAGGGTTTTATAAATTTATTGTTTGTGTACATTTTGTTCATTGAATTTCATTATTCTTGTTGAAATATTTTTGTTATATACTTGTTCATGATCTTTTCTTGAATCTTCTAATCAGAATTTTGTTTGTTTAATCATTGTTCATTTGCATTCATACATTGTATTAATTTTCATTTTTCTGTTGAGTGTTGTTATTATACACAGACATGTACTGATGTATTTGTTGCCATTTATGGCATCTCCATTGTATATTTATATCTATTTTGTGAAGTAATTTTTATGATCTATTTTGTTGGCCGAGTTTTCGATTTTTCTGCTTTCATTCAAGTGAACTTATTATAAGGGCCGGAATGCCCTTAAAGTAGATTGCTAAGATGGTATGGTAGATACAGTAAGACCTCACATAACATACAAAATGGGAAGGAAAAAAAAATTAAAGTATCTTTCAATATCCATTTTAAAAATGATTGTTTGCTTGATTTCTTTGTGAACGATAGTATTCACTGTTATGAAAAACAAAATAGCTTTATCTCAATCCTAAAATGTCTTGAAGATACCTAACCTAAACTAGAAGAATTTTTGCAGACTAAATTTTTAAAAAATCAAACAAACTAACTAACGAGCGAACATAAACAGTTATTATCGAGAACAATTCCCATGGTTGCTAAAAGATCAACTCCAGTTGCAAAGTGTGCATACTGCCATCTAGAGGTAGAATCTGCCGATATAAACAGTTTTGTCGAGAACTATTCCTATGGTCACAAAAAGATCTACTCCAGTTGCAAAGTGTGTATACTGCCATCTAGTGGTAGAACCTGTATATTCTTGTAATGAGTGAGTGATATGTTTTTTAGTGTATGATGGATGAGGGTTTGGGTACGAAGTGACAGGTAGAATTCCAGCTATGCTATCCTAGATCTTTAATTTGCCAACTGGCTTAGCTATGTTTAGATTCCTTGTAATCTGAAGCAAATGATGGCTTTTTGAGTACTACCAAATGTTCAGTCACCTTGTTCCCTCTTTTTTCCTTCTGGTATTTTACTCTGGAAGTTGTATGAATAGTTGTAAATTCAGAATCATTTTGAGATTTGCATACGGTTCAGTTCATCTCAAAGAACAACAACAGAAGATAAACAATTATTTTGGTGGCTGTGCAGTGCATGTTTATAAACTATAAATGTATATCTTGTAGCAATATTTGTTTAAATAAAATGATATGGGCTCTTTTCTCTTTGTTTATACATCAAAAGCACACATACTTAATTTATACATATAACTGGGCTTTCCCTTCCTTTTGAGCTCTTGTACTTAGATTTGTGTAATTAATTGCTTAGATACTTGGTTGGTGACAGTGTTTTTTATAAGAAAATTCTTGATAGAATCTATATTTAATTAATGTGATCTTTTCCCCTTTTTTTTGTATATACTTATTTATTAAAAAAGCTCAGTGTAGCATTTGAAATGTCTTGAAGTACAGAAAAGGAAGTATTGTGTGTTTCCCTTTATTCCTTCCTTCCCTCTCCTCTCCCTTTCTGTTTTAGGCAACTTCAGAAATAGCATTCATATTTGCCAAAATGTACTAAAAGATATAGGAAACCATGAACCTATATGATTCGCTAATTTTCCAGGAAGAAAAAGGTACACACCCCTCCATGCTTTTATATGTAGGTCATGTTTTCTCTTTAAACTATAAGTGATAATGAATGAAAGACATATGAACAAATGATAAAATCTTACTAAAAAACTTTGGCCTTTTCTCATTGTATCTACTGATGTGCTTACATTACATTTTACCTGATTAAAATCACATTTTGACAACTCTGACTCCTAAAAAGCTCAATGAAAATAGTCATCATTATCATACTTCATACTCATGATGTGTAGACCTTTCCAATCATGTGGTATATCTTGGTGTCAATTCTCTACAAATGAATTTTCTATCCTCTGATTCTTAGTGTAACGCGTGTCAACTCAAATAAATATATTTCTCACCAATTCTTCCTTTTTTCTAATTTTACATCAAGTTAATGCGATGACCTCTTTCCCTTGACCCTTCCATTTCCTTGAGATAACCATATTTGTTCATGTTATTACTTAAATACAGAGTTTAGACCCAAATGCAATGTTATTTTGTTTCATGGTGTGTGCTTAGATGGACATATCAGCGTAAAACAAACAAACAAGGAGCCAAAAAACTTCTGTTTACGAGAGCGCTTTTTCGATTAGCCAGTGAGATTTCAGAGCAGTGATTTGTTTTGTGATGTGTGCTACAGTATATAGCAGCTATTATCATTGTCATGGATGTGCATATATACATGATCATGCATTAATTGATAATTGAATAAATATATTTTGTAAATGCATTGTAAACCAATCATTCTATTATTGATTAATCAATCAACTGAGCTTTCTGATGTTTTGCAATTAAATGAAAAGCATCCACAACTCAGAAAGCCGTAGATCATCATCAAATGCTAATTTTAATGATCTCTATAAAATGTCTAAGTAATAAAACTTTTTGTCTAAATCAATTTGATACATACTTAAAAGAAAAGTAGTTCATTAAATGTTCTCATTGCAAAGAAGCTAATAACTATACTTGGTAGCATTTTTAAAACTGTAAACGCTCTTTACCCTTTCCATGTCTCAACAAAATTTCTGAGGCCTTTTGATAATATACATGTTGTTGAGAGGCGATAAATCGAAAAAGGCATTATACTGCTTATCAAATAGATCTGAAGTTGGATTTTTATGCAAACTAAAATTTGCCAACCAGATGGTGACAACTTGTTCATTTTTATATACAAACCTGTATTGTGTTTTTTAAATGAATTTGTTATTGGTGGTGATTGTTAATATTTGCATATTCTCATGCTTTAATATTGTAAAAATAAAATCGTAAATATATGTTAATACAGGTACCTTTCTTTTCTTCTAAATAAGTCTGCGTTGGTGAAGCTTAGTCTAAAAGTAAGAAAATATTTCATTTGTATGTGCTGAACCTTGCACATTTGTTTGAAGATCTGTATGAGATAAAATTAAGAAAAGAAGAAGAGGAGGAGGGGGAGAAAGAGAGGTGGACAGATACTAGTTGAAAGAGGCTGAGAGAAGGAGAGAGGGAGAAACAGATAGAGATAGACAGAGAAAGAGAGAGATTGACAGACACAGAGAGAGAGAGGCAGACAGACAGACAGAGAGAAAGCATAGACAACAAATGGGCAGGGAGGATTGGGAAAAAAGAGGGGATAGAAGAGAAAAGAGAGAAATATAGAGGGATGGTCAAAGGTATTTGAGGGGACTCAATACGGAGAGAGAGAGAGAGAGAGAGAGATATATAGACAAATGGATAGATAGAAGGTATGGTCAAATACATTTGAGAGGAATCAAGAGGCAGAGAGAGAGAGAAAGAGAGAGAGAGATAGATATTATAGAGAGGGGTGGTCAAATACATTTGATAAGAAACAGGAGAGAGAGATAGAAGGTATGGTTAAATATATTTGAGAGGGATCAAGAGAAAGAGAGAGAGGGGAGGGGAGAGAGAAAGCACCAGGAGAGTGCCCCTGTAAGGTAAACTTGAGATCTTTTACCTAGCATATTTATATGTGTACTATCAAGATAGATAAATATGTCAGCACACTGGATAAAATTTAAGCCCTGAAAAAAATGGAAAGCAACTTTTCTCATGGGTTGGGCTGGGTATAGCATTACCCCTCAAGCCAATGTATAAACATTCAGTAAGAGATATTAATGACCCTATCTACAAGCGAAGACAGATAATAGAGGGCTCATGGCCAATGGTATTTATGCTATTCTAAACAGAGCATCAATAAACCTTTAGCAGATCCCGTTTTATGATCCTCCCTCACATTTCGTCAGGGTTTACTAGCTGATACAGAGTGAAACAGAGTAGAAACATAATAAAAAGAAATGTTTATTTTTGAAAAGGTACAGCTGTACAGCCATCGTCCTATCGTTGTAGATATATCTTATGTTATGCCCAGAATGAATGGTGCACTGCTTCCTTTACCAATGCCTGGATAGAGAAGTGTTTTGGTTAATGAATAAATCTTGGGAATAAGTGTACATTTTGCATTATAGCAAATTAGTGGGATGTTATATCATGTATGCTCTGATATGTGCTTTCTTAGCAGTCAGGTAAAATAACCACCACCATCTTTAATATGTATGTGAGCCCTTCCCATTGCAATTTTGAAACCAATTTTTTTATTTGTTTAATTTGTTTTATACATACATGTTATACAGGTTAATCTTTGAAAACGTTACTCTGATTATCATGTCTGAAAGGGTCAATGTCGATATTTTAAACAAATTTCTGAACTATCAATTTAATATATAGAGTCAATAATTAATTGTCATTGGACTGTGCGAAAGCTAGAGCTGTAAAAAAAAAAAAGAAGACAGATTATTAGCGATCTGAATCTATGGGGGAAAAAATGAATAATGAAACTGGTTTTTCCCAGGCATATTTCCTCCCTTACTAACACTCATCAAAAGAATAAACCCTTAGAAAATGGGAAAAAATAATATCAAGGGTTTGATTGATACAAGGAACAACCATGGACCCTGTGAAAGTGTGAGCATGAATAGCTACATTTTCCATACTTATGCCATTGACCTTTGTGGTATACTATAGGGTCAATGGTTATGTTGTGTTTCTCCACTACCCCTGTTGAAAGTATTGTCTGGGTTCCTATTCACTGCAATTCAAGCAGCTAATTTGCCCCCCTTTGGCACCCTCGGCAAACTACTCCGTAACACCTGCCTTGCCCGCCTTACCAAACGGCACTCTCTGGGTCATTCACATGCGAAGAAATATATATGAAATTCATATAAAGAAAGACATATGATAACCAAATTGTGAAAGGGGCATACACACAAGGTACATGAGATGATAAATGTTGTATTAAAAAAACTAGTGTGGGAGATAAATGCATGGTTATAGTTTGTAGACGATTCTTACAGGCCCTACTACTGCATCTTGCAAGACACTCACATGAGTACTGGTAGACCCTGATTCTTTTTCAAGTTCTTGTCCAAAGTGCAAAATGATGTCCATACCTCTCTTTTGGGTATTTTGAGGTTTCATTATATTATGCTCTAGGATATTCACACAAAAAAATAGTTTGAGTACTTATTGTACTGTTCTTCACTTTTTGTACAAAATGTGGTATAGTTTTCTACATCTGAATGGATTCTCTCTCTTTCTCTCTCTCTCTCTCTCTCTCTCTCTCTCTCTTCCCCTCCCCTCTCTCTCTCTCTCTCTTTCTATACCTCTTTCTCTCTCTCTCTCTCTCTCTCTCTCTCTCTCCCTCTCTTTCTCCTCTCTCTCTCTCTCTCTCTCTCTCTCTCTCTCTCTCTCTCTTTCTTATTAGACTTGTTTATATTCTCACCTTGCCGGTATACAATACTTTTAGGTGGAATATCCTTAATAGCATCTGTAATACAAATATTGAGGTGGAAATTCGAAAATACTACTCCTGTTGTAAGAATACTTTTACCTTTTTTTTTTTTTATAAAGAGACAATTTGAGCTGTTATCTGTCAGAATAAATAGAACTTTGTATTCCTTTCCTTAAAAGAACTTTGCTGTCATGGGAAGCCAAGGTACTACCAATTATTTAGGTGGTTGACCCAACTAGTGGACATTCCTTCCTTTCAATCCCGAATAAAAGCAAAGATTATTATCTCCAGTCCTTTTCCTCTTTTCATCACCTTCATGTTTTGAACAAAAGGTGAAGTCGCAGTGAATTTAGGCCTGGGAATACTTGGTCAGAGTAGTATAACTTCCCCATATGGTCACCAGGTCAGGGTGAAATGTTGTTTCCAATTGTTCGGAATTAGATATATGAACAATTCAACCACTATTAGTTATCATTTCTAAATATCATAGTATTTATTTCATATTGTCTGTACAGAGCCAAATCGTAGGCTCTTCTGGTTTCAAACAGATGGTATATGTTGTATACTAAACACTATTTAAAAAAATGAACAAATCTTGTTCATTATTGAGGTAAAAAATGTGTGTAATCAAATATCATGTCTGTTTGGCATAATTTCATTTGCAAAAAAGTCCAGATGAAATTCACTACCCTTTATATACACTATATCTGGATTTTAGTTCCATAGCGCTTGTCTCATTAGTTCATATTTGATTAGAAGATCAAATAAAGTGATGTTACTTTCAGAAATCTGAATCTAAGTCTAAATCAAACTTTGGGTAAATGAGTCTTTGAAACATCTTCTGAAATTTTCATTTGCATAGGATCATAGAAGAGAAAGACCACCATGAAAATGTTTAAATGAAGATTTATTAAAGCAAAAATAGGAATAGGGGTAAATACCTTGTTTGTGAATGTTTTAAATTATCTTTTGAATTTCAATTTACATGTTTGTTTACTGCATGCATGGAAAGCCCTACGCACCTGTTCAAGCTTTGTCACTTGGAGCATAATAAACATTCAGACATGTTTACATTTTCAAGGTCCATTTATTCATAATTTTATAACCATATCTCCTTCCCTGTGCCTCTATTTTATGTCAGTTATATGCCATTTAGAAATCATAGTTCAATGCACTTCTGTAAAATGGTGGTGATGGGTGTGTCTGAATATTTTCTGTTTGGAGCCAGATGGGTTTTAACTCATAAATTTCTACAAAGAGTTAAACCCATTTAGATCTGAATAGACAATATGATTGTTTTGCACTTTTTATCTGTCCAATATATATATCACTCTCTAAGATTGATATATTATCATGGCAGTTTGTCTAGTATTTCTAAGGTTTATGGGTATCGTTGCCATGGAGACTGGAGACCATAAGATGGGCTGGGTCCTCAAACATACCAGACTAAGAATTCTGTTTACGGTTGGATCACTTGTCCATTCACACTAGCCATCTATCATTTTACGCTCGCACCAATCCACTGTCTTCAATTTCAAAGTTACCTTTTGACAGAGTCCTAAAAATTGGTTGAAATTGTTCATTCAGTTGGCCAAGAATGTATTCCTGAGATTTTTAAGAAACATAATCAGCATTTTAGTAAGGGACAAATATTTGTTCACATGGATAAGAATAATAAAATGCTGTAACCCTGTACCTTGAAATAACCATAAAATAACCATGAAATCATGAATTCCACGCCATTTGGTCCACCCTTACAACCTTGCAGCCCAATCATCTTTTAGAGTGAATTTGGAATATAATATCTTTCAGAGATATTATTTGAACTGTAATCCCTCAAATACTAGATTGTTACTGTACCATAAATAATTATTGACAAAATGAAGTTGTATTCAAATGTCCTTGAGGAGGATTCGAGGGATATTATTGCATTACTTTTCAAAGTGATGAGGGCTATAACTAATATGCTAGACAAAAGGAAGCCATTCAATATTATCATTTCATTGTATGGTTTATTATGGCATTGATTTCATTTTAATGAATCCCCTCATGTGCATCTTGTTTGCTTCATCCCGATGCCGAACTATCAACTCTTCATTATCTGGGAAGAAAGATTCCTATATTTTGGTATTTACATCAATAAGTAATCATTAGCTTAATTATTCAGCCTTTTTTCCTGAAAATGTCTTTTCAAAAGCATATGAAATATATTGAATCCCTAATGTTTATTGGAGAAGTTCCTAATTTGCTGTGAGAGGTTGCAGATATCAACAGGCCTATAGTTTCTACCTGGTAACTATCGACTTCTCTGATTCCCATAGATTTAATACAGAGACTATCCCTAAAGCAACGTATGTACCTATTCATTTCTATTGGCTAACATTTCTGTTTTTGTTGTTGTTGTTAAGGCCTATCCAGTATTATTCTTTAACAATGGTTTTCTTTGATCTATATTATCATTTGAACAGATATAGGGCAGGATGAGGATTATATAGATG